CATGTTACTCACTTGATTTGAAACAGGCAGAAACGAAGGGAGAGTTCTTTTTCTGCTCCCGTCTCTGAACGTCCGCCGAGATATGAGCGTCGAGAACTCCCCTACGACAGCCCTCCACCGCGAAGTCCTAGGACTACCGGGTCGGACTTCGTAGGCTATCTCTGCATACTCTTTGCCAGCCTTCCGACAATTGCGGTATGTGTCATGCGCTAGCCGAATCAATAGGACGAAATCACTTGCTGAATAGCCAAAAGACATTTTGCTAGAATGTTTCGATTATAATGATAGAGAATGACGACCAATGACTCGCAGAGTGAAGAGTGCACGAATATTACGAAAGTTGTGATAGTTACACATCACTCAGTTCAGCCTCGCAGGATCGTTCTTAGGGATCACAATCTAGCAAGCAGCTCTCTCGACTCGCAATTCTGTCTACGAGGACATGCGAGCCGATAGAGAATAAAAGTTCTATATAAGTATTTAATATTCCTTGGATAAGAGCTTTATGCTTAACTTGATTATTTAATTAATAGTTTATAAGTTTTATTTACTTAAAACAAGAAATATCTTATTTTATTTATAATAAATTTATATATAAATAACTATATTATACACGTTTACATCGTAGTTGGTAATGTAGGTCGTCTGAGTCGTGGTTGTCATTTTGATGGATTTCTTCTAGACGCTGGGATTAGAGGATGAGGTGGAATCGTTATTATTATTAATGCCGTTATCTGTGAATAGAGGTAAGAATTATTACTTCTAGGAAAACTAGAGAGTAGAGGTCGCTATCTTACAACTGGTTTGGACTATAGGAGTAGCAATGTCCTCTGGAGGAGCGTCGACGAACAGCTGAAGCACATCGAAAGCGAACTCCGGTACATCCTACATGAGATGGGCGGCGAAATTGCAGCAGGCTACAAGGGAACGAGTTTCTTTGTCCCAGACAGCAACGGACAACGGCAAGGGAAAGCATACGGCTTTTGGGCCTTTGGGCTAGGCGTAGGATGGCATCTATAGTGTCTTGCAGCACCTAATGTCTCTTATCGTAAACTAGTTTCATTTCTAATAAGCCTAGCAAAATTAAAGCTCAACATACTCCTCTCGATTGTCCCGATTTCGTTGGTGTTCAAAAGATATGACCCTAGCGGGCCGAACCACAACTAGGTGTCTGATCTGCTTTCTCTACGCTTCCTTCGTGGCAGAACCTCAACCAATCACGCCCCTATGACCCCCCTCAATAATCGTCGACCTTCACAAAGCAAATGCTTCTCCAAGACTCAGTAATAAAAAACCACGACTCCCTTGACAAGAGTATGGGGAAACGTCCAAAGAAGAAGCCGAACTCTGAGTATTACGCAGTCATCCGCGGTTTCTACCTTAATGTTCCGACAATCTTCTCCTCCTGGTAAGCATCCATGGTTGTGGAACGTTCGCGCCTTCGATTACTGACGAAGAACTACTCTATTAGGGGAGATGCACACCCTTTGGTTACTAGATTTAAGTCTCCGAAACCACCTTTCAAAGGCTTTGTGACTCTGGTCGAGGCCGAAGCGTATATGGTAGAGGAGAAAGTTGAGAACTACGAATACAAGATCAAAGATGATGCTGGGGAAACCACACCACACAAAGGACAAACGGCGTATTATGCGGTCGCCAACGGCCGAAACCCCGGGATCCAGACATATTATTAGTAGGTATGAGGCTCCGTTAATTAGGTATATATCTCTAACTCCATAAAAGTGGTGAAGGCGGGGCAGAACCTGAGGTGGTGAAGTTTTCAGGGGCATGTCACAAGCATTTTCGAACACTACAACAGGCGAAAAACTTCATAGCAGACTGGGAAGAGATGCATGCCTGCGTTGTCAAAGCCAAGATCAAAAGAGAGTTGTCTGGTGGCCATCGGCCGGAAAAAATGCAGGGAACGCCTGTTCCACTTAGCTTGAAGACAGAGTGCAACACTGGGGATGAGGAACTTGCAGATAGCATGCGAAGAATGACAATAGAGAACTTAGCAATTGTTTAATATCAATAATTTGGTGTCTGAAGCCAGTGCCAAAGTCCCCTGTCCATCAACTGACTCTCAAAACACATCTGCACCCAAATCAGTACTTTGAAGAAGTGTACGCTCAATGTTATAGCTCCTCCAGCATCTCAGCCAGGCGCAAGATAGACCTAGCCGCATCATTCATAGTCATATGAATCATGAGTGGAGTCCGATTATAAGGTCTCCCCGCGAAGAGGGTCTTTGAATGTAATGCCATTCCCAGAGAAGCTTTCGCATCTTAAAGTCTTCAGGGTAGCTTTTACCGCGTCAAGCAGATCAACTGAAAAGCTGTGAACTTCTCGCATCGCTTTTGAGAACTTGTGATAATCATGTCGGAGATATCCGTGAACCGCTGCTGCCGCCAAAATATGGCGTACTGGATGTCCGTCTGGTAGATCTGCCACTGAAGTGATATGTTTAGATCTAAGCCAAGAGGTGTCTTTTAGCTCGCTAGGTCCTGGGGGGCTCCCCGTCTTTGGTACCGGGTTGGATATGATGATAGCCTTGATACGCTCAGCCATCAATGATTCCATACCAGTAACTCTGCACATATCTGCAATTCTGGCAAACTCAATAATAGCAGTAATAGCTTCTGTTGGTTCTAATTCGCCAAAGACGACCCGGCCAAGATATAACCACTGTACTAGCATTTCGAAGCTTCGGGTTGAAACGACACCATCTATCTCAGTCAAGGTTGTTGACTGCTCTTCTCCTTCCCAAAACCCCCCTGTAAATGTAGCTGCGAAGTATGCGAATTGCTTGCAGAGTAACGCTTTGGAGAGCTTATATTCGCGGCCTGCAGATCCGATTCGAATTCTGACATGAGGATCGGTATAGAGTGGGAGGAGACTTGGAAATCATGTCAGTATAAAATGGCACTGGGACCTTTGACCCATTAACTCATTGATAAAATCTTCGTAAGGCACAAGAAGAAGGCTCTTCTTAGGACCTGCGGTCGACATACCGGCGGCTGCCATAATCAAGAATCTGAAGAGGAAAAGGGTGGGGGATGGATAGATATGCAGAGCCTAGTTAACAAGAGCGGGGCGGGAGCCTCAGGCGTGTTCGAGTATAATTTTATAGTCTGCGAACATCAAGAAACGTCTCGGCTCTAACTGCCTCTTACAGGAGGGGCTACGCCACCTCCATACCCTCACTGCGAACTATCCTTTTATAGTGAGCGTCGAAAACCACCCATGAGAGATGTTAATGAGTATCTGGAGCGAAGAGGCCAAATTGAGCATGTCAGGGTCCTTACACGAGATATGTATGGGCGTTCAAGTTATTTCTCACGAAATCCAGTCCCGAGACGACCACTGGCACCAGCAGCAGCGCCTCGTACAAACTCAGGGGTTTCAAAAATACCAAGCCGTAGTTTTCCTTATCCAGAGACTTTTGACTCACGACCTCTAAATCTATACGCACCTGTCATGGAAGAGTTGAGTGAAAAACGCTTACATGAACTACCCCTAGAACGTACTTTTACCTTCTAGAGTTCGTAGGTGAGAAGGAAAGTGAAAAGAAATTGTAATATCTGCACCTTTAAGATCCGGCTTCTTTCATTATTGTTACCATTTGATTGTTTTTAAGACGTTGAGTAAACCATCGACCACCTCGACAAAATCACAAATTGTACCCCCTTCCCCCTCTCGGCCCAAAGTATTTCCTCCTCAACTCGTCCATTTGCAATTACCTTGGATAAGCCTGCAAGAACTGCGGAATCTCTTCCTTCCAGAACTCATCAAAGCGATTGACATTCATGGAAGTGGTATACTCCCAGTATTCCTGAAACCAACCCGCCATCTCCCAATCGACGAGACCCACCACTTTCCCATCTCGGACCAGTATATTCGAGCTACTAACATCCCCGTGCGTGAAGTAAACTTTGTGTTTCTCCTGATCTTGCATATGGATCATCTTCATCAACTCATCTATTTTTGATCCGTGAAGAGAACACGATTCGATTTCAAAACATCAAAGGCAATTCGTAGACCATATCGCAGAGAGGCGTTGAAGTCATTGTCATTGGCGAAAGGTCCGAGTCCGTAATGGTCTTTGAATGTCGTCGGATCCCAAGCAGGTTGCAAACCTGCTGCGGCAATAAATCCGGGTTGAGAATGAGGGAGATTCCGCAGATGATCGAAGATGTTCTTGAGTTGCCGCAATAAGCTTTTATTTTGCTACTTCGGCTCTGGTTTCCCAATTTTTCCCGATCTCTTCGCCTTTTTCCCACTCCATCACGATGTACGTGATGCCTCGCTCTCTGAAGGAGGAGTAGACTTTGGGCACGGGTATGGTGGTGTTCTCGGCTATGTAGCGAAGGTTTGCCGCTTCACAAAGTTGCATTGTGATGCCGTACTTGATGCATATACCCAGAACAGGGAGTGGTAAAATCGCTGAAATGATTGGTTTGTCTTTCTGGAAATCTTGGTGGTGATGATGCTGAAGCTGAAGATATATAATTATGTAATAGCCTTGAAGACTTTTTGGAGGAAGATGAAGAGATGCTATGTTTGCGAATCAGAGATTTTGTATCAGCCATGCTCTCTTCGGAATGAACCAGAAGAAGTGAATAATGCATGACAAATTGAAAGTACGGCGAGGTAGAAAGCTTCCCTAAACATGATCTTACCAGATGCAAGTCTCTTCTAGAAGCCCAACATGAGCTTCTTCATGTCCCTGAGGTCACCGCACAAGCTTCTGTGCTCGTCATCAAGTCGTGACAGGCTTGCTTGCGCGTTAAAGAAGGCGCCGCTCGTGGAAGCCCCTTCCTCCGCAACATTGATAAGCGAGGGCCATAGAATCTCAAGAGAAAAAATTGCAGAATCCCAACATAAGCAACGATAACAACGAAAACACCAATGCTCTCCTTTACAAAATTTAAGAGACAAACAATTAAAAAAGGCAGAACTAAAGATAGAAGCAAGAGATCCTAAAAGGAAAAATGATCAAAGGCCTGAACTCGGGTTTGAACCGAGGACCTCGCACAATCAAGCCAACTCATAATCACTTTTATGAGAAAATCCCGAAGTGCGAATGCTACCACTGCACCATTCAGGCTGTATTTGGGTTATCTGCACTTATTTAAAATTATATAGTGTAGAGTGAAAGGAGGTTGTGGCTGTGAAGAGGTGTGAGTCAAACGGGGAAGCAAACAGCAAACGGGGGAGGTGCACTTGAGAATTTTGGGTGTGGTAGGGTGAACTTCGGATTAAATTCGGGTGACATAGGTGAGAATAGAATAATGGGAAGCAGAGAAGGAGAGGAACGTGCCTGCTATATTCAATCGCCATGTTTTCGCTTAGCGAAGGGATAGGAAGGAGCGATGTTGACAATAGTTGCCAGGATGGAAGACGTCGAGTTTACACAACTCAACGTGTTCAAGCATCACATCACAAATGAGTCGCGATTTCATTTGCAGCTTCCGCTACCTACGCAGTATAATGAAAGTCTTCTCTTTCCCTTCTTTTCCTTTTACTTCATCGTCATGAGCGTCGGGAAGCTGAGCCGACCTCACACCCGCAGCCCGCGACAGGAGCACAACCTGCAAATTACCAATTATCAACCTTTTAATGTCATCCCTGAGTACCAAAACCACACATCAGGAAACTCCGAAATGCTATCCGAAACACAACATGACTATGTTGCCCCAAGACCTGGGAAGGGAAATGACTCGGGAAAACGCCATGTTGCTCTGTTGCACAACGTTTATTACGCCAGTGGATATGTTTGTGCTACGTTCTACAGATCTGAAGTTCTGTATGGCAGACTGGTTGGGAATTTGGAAAGGAAGGGGAGGGGTAATATGCATGGTGCTGATCTTTCGGGAGGGAAGATGATTCGAGCTTGACGTGCAATGATGAAGTAAACTTGTTTCAAACGGTAAGATAGGATATGTCGTCGTATGAGTGTACTTGGTAGTTATAGAACACGAGTTGAAATCAAGTCTCAATACATTTGTTGAACTTAGAGATAAAACATATGTTCTGATGCATATCATAACACCTGCCTCACTCTCTTCCAAGATCTATAAATTTGTCCTTTCAAAAGTGCCCGCGGTTGTCCATAATTACCCCTTTTTTGCTGACTGACAGAGGCTTCTAGCAAATCATGTCAGATTCCGATTTCGTGCTGTGTTTGGAGCCGGAGTAAATAGATGATGTCTGTCTATGTAGGCGTTCTTGGTGGAAAGCTAGTGATGCTGGTGACATTCTAGCTGAGCGTTTAGCTTGTGCGCGGGAGCCGATGATACAGAATTTGCGGAGGGAAGCCAGGAACACAATACTTGCTGTTGTTGACATCCGTATAGAGCTTTCTCCTTGAACAAGTCAGATCAGGAATTGGCTCATCCGAACTTACAGAACTCGGCGAATGGAGATCGTGTGTAAATTCAAGATATTGATGGGCCATTGACGATTATGCTATGATGTGATGTGATGCGAGTAGAGGTTAGAAAGCCGTATGAATATTTCCAGCAACATATCTCCTGTGTGTGATGACTGCGTATACTCATTCGTTATAAAGGATCGAGAGACTTGGAAGCGTTGTGGCGGAATTCTCGTTTACGAATTTTCGTTCAACAGCAACCGGTGAGCTCCTAGATCGAGTAGGTAGACATCGTTCCTCGATCGATGTCGTGATAAGATCTCCAATTGCATGCCGCGTAGTGGAATAGTTAGACGTTTCATGCTTGTGCCTGTGTTGTTGTTTATCTTTTAGGCAACACCGTTATAAGGCATACGAAACGATATGTTGTGACAAGTAACAGAGTAAGCGTTGTAGGTGGCTTATAGTACCACGTGTAGTAATGCCAAATAGGTAAAATTTATTATGGCACGACTTTCAATACATCTGCAATGCATCTTTGGCATTGTCTGCTATGTAACGACACGTGCTAACAAGACCGTTGGTGGCGATGTAAAGTGTTACAAAAGTAAGTGTTCGGGTATTGAGCAAAATTCCAAGTCCGAGGTGGATACAAAGCAAGAAATATTCCGAGATAAGGGGACTGACATAAAAAGTTACTCCACATCTGCAACATCAAGACTCGTATTCCATAACTTGGAAAACCCCTCTCCTTCAATTGACAGGTGGAAATGTTCCCCCATCTATGAGTTTGACACCGGAAACACTGGAGATTTTCACGATGGCTGGACCGTTGTCCTGAAACTTCATGCGGAGAGTGGGAGATCGTGTAGCTGCGGCTTAAATATGTTGGTCTAACAGATCAATTGAGGCAAACGATGGCGAAAGCCGGGACAAACCCTCCTCGGAGAGTCTCATGATCCTTGGCTCCTTCCTTCTCTCAGCCTTGTGCGAGGAAAGAGCTCTTTCCCCACAAAATGTCAACCCCAGGCATAGGGAGTATGAAACCGCCCCTAGATTTTTCATCCAGCTCGACAGGCATGAACGAAACAAAACACAAGCTTGAATTTTTTGGAGCCACGTGAAAAGTGTTGAAATTGGCCACCTCGGCGCTCGTTTGAGATGACTGCATAGGAATAATTTCGGGCTGCTAGGTCGTGCCGGCACGTGTATCTCAGAAAAGGGAAATTCCACACGTGATGATCATCTTCTTCAGCATTCCGCCTTGCGGTGAGAAGTGGGAATAGAATCAATAAATCCTGTGGATAAGGGAAATAATATTCATGCGAAACTTGGAAATGGAGTTTGAAAGTCCCAAAAGATCGCGGAGACCGAAGAATGCCAACTCAAAAAAGCGTGCTGACCAGCGGTTCAAGTAAGAGATGCGACTTTACCCATGACGCCCCAGCTCCCAATTCATGCAAGCAATTTCGCTGACGTTCTCGAGCCTCTTCAACAAAAAAAGTTCCAACGCCCGAAGGTCGAATTCCCGACTTTTGACATCGCGTAACTTTTACTTTGGTACATATCATTTCATGCCAAAAATAAGTTTGGCCAACCAGAACGCCACTCCCTTGCGTGTTTTTAGCGTTTGAGTGATATTGCGTGCCAGAAACTGTGGGCCTATTGGCTGAATAGTGTAGATCTACGCGTGATCCAAGATGACGAACAGAGCGGGAGGCGTTCATGTTGAAATGACCCTCGAAATGGGCGAACGGTGAGAGCTGTAGAGTTATATTGCGCGTAGTATTTGTCGGGATGGAGATGGAAGAATGGAGCGCGGATGGGGACCCGGTTTCTTGTGAGTGACTGCTGGGAATGTCGAAACCTGGAGAGGAGACGACCCTTTGTCCGGATAAAGAGAGGCCTCGGAGGCGTTAAGGTTTGAATGCGGAGCTGGAAGCTTCGTAGTTTCTCTGCATCTTGGAGAAAGTCGACAGACTGACTCGAGGCTCGGGATTTGTTCTGGTGGATGTTGGGAGCTCAGAGTTCAACGGTCCTTCGATGTTCCGTTTTGCTTTGACGTCGCCAAGACCACCCCTCTCGCTGTTGGAACACCAGCGGAGAAGCTGAACATTAATAATCACGCGTCAAAGTCGCGTTTTAGTCGCTTCTCTCATTGGCGTCCCGGCGCGTCTACCGTCACGACTCCTCATACGAACTATCTACTGCATTTGGCCTTGCTTCACGCGTATCCATGCCTCTTAAGCCCAGCCACCAGAGATCTGTGGTGATCGGATTATAGACGCACCTGCAAGGTAAATCCTCATGTCGTAACCTGGTCGCATCCTCGATCTGATCATACCGAAGCCCGTCTGAGACCGCCCGAAGATTGAACTAAAACCTGTTATTTGGAAAGCATCGCTGAAAGAGGAAATTGCTTGCTTCTGTTGATGGACATCAGACCCCTCAACTTCAGCTTGCCTGGATCTGCCCTCTCGGGATGCTACTTTGACCTATAGGCTTCCAGGAAACCGTGCCCTAGAGTGAGTGAGTTGTCAAGAGTCGGTGATGGACCCAAATCTACGGGAATTGGTGGTTGTGAAGCCGGCCATGAAGAAAGCAGGTCATGCCAGGTCGAGGCTTGGCAGAGGGGATTTTGATGTGCCGAATTGCCAGTGCAAGGTGAGCCTCGTCGAGCTTCGCAGTCGAACTGGCAGGCGTCTGAGAAGGCCTTACGTCACATCGCAAAATTGTCTTTTTGCCTGTTCGAGGAGGCGCGGATATTTGTTTCCCTCATCATCGTTCAAGTCAAAGCGTCCCCGCCGTTGAGATTAAGGTGGATGTTGTGGGTTTGAGGGGTCTGAGCGAGGGGCAAGCAGATCCAGATCGCGACCTTCGAAATGACCCAGGCCTAAACGAGCAAATTTCAACAACACATCATGGCCGTTCGAAATGTTGTGGAAAGCAACTGCCAAGGCCGATGTGTGAAGGCGCTCTCTTCAGCAGCTCAGCTTTCGATGTGAAGATAAATTTGGTCTTAAGAAGCGAGCATTTCTGTCTTGTCCTGCAATGCAGCCAGGGACAGGGAAATGGCATTGGGCTGCAGACGGCCTCCAAGCTCCGTGATTGGACTTGGACGGACACGCGATCCGTCTGATTTCCAACAATGACGGGGACATGCTTCCTCTTTGACAATGAAATAGTCAGCTCACAAGTCATCCTACACGGCTTCTTGTTGGTGTTTACGGGTTGCTATTTGAGTCCGGCAGCGTTTATGCAGTTACATTTCCGCTGCTGTGTAGTCTGGAGTTGAGCCTCTGAATTTGCAGACGATTCGGGAGGACTTTGGTGTGAATCCAGAAATGCTAGTTGTTGACAGCTTCTCGCCTCAAATTCCCAAACTTCTTATCATCTGGAAATATAAGCACGGATTTTTATGACCGAGAGCCGGTAGTTAGTACATGTAGAAAGAGGGGTTTGTTGATGAAAGCAAGAGCTTTCCAGCTGCATGGAAGTGGGAAGGCTGTGTATTTAGGGAATGACGCTGGCATGGCTCTGTGATGGATATCGGATGGAGTTTTCAAAGTTTTGATTTAGCAACGATGTCGTCACATAATTCTGCAGAATGTACCGGTCGGAAAATTCCAGAAGAAGGTTGTGCATCCGTGTTCCCCAAGAAGTGGCGTTTAGTTTGAGACTTTCAGATTCAAGATATAAATGGTCTCAAAAGTGTTACTCAAACATATACCTCA